TGGCCCTACCAGCTGTATATCCACAGCTTCATGTAGCCCAGAATGATGCAACACAACGCGCATATTGCAAAGAGCTTAAAGAAAAGGGGGGCTCCAGCAGAGGTCCGTCGGCTGGCGAGGAGAAGGACTCCCTCCCAGAATGGAGCAGTGCCAGTATGGGGGATGTGGCAGCCCTCCCCTCCTGCCTAGATGTCCCTCGCCTCGGGAGCTGACGACTTGCCCTCCTGTGTCACTTGTCATGGGACCTTGCCTGGTATTCTCAAAGTGCCACCACGCTCTGTCCCCAGGTGGCTGTGTCAGTGCAGCGCTGTGAACCTTGCAGATCCACAGCTTGTAAAGCAGGTTGACAGCTTAAAGGCCTGGTTATTAGTAGTGAAGTACATAGTTACATACGTGTTACTAATAGTAACCTGCATTTCTATTTTACCATTAACTAAGAAAAACATTTGATCCCTGACAGTAAGTGGAGACTGGTTTGCCCCAGAATCAAGCAACACATTGAAGGTTCATATTCTCCTCTTCCCTTGGAGATCAGGCAGTCACTGGTGTTCTCTGACCTTCTCCTTTTCTATTTATAAACTCTTAATGATACTTCACTGTGGACAGCAAATCTTGACCAGCACAGAATCTCAAAACACGGAAAGCGGGATCTGAGCCTTCATCAGCTTCCTGACACGGCAAAGAGGAGCAGCATATGCTGCAAGGGATTTTTTCACCATTGATATGCAGTACATTTTCCCAAACTCAAGATAAGATGCTGTTTCCAAATGGTGAAAGCAAGCAGTGGCAGCTCCAAGCAGCCCCCAACATCTGGCCAATTTTGCATTTCAGATGCCACTCTGACCCAATGATGGTGTCAGCAGCCATTCTCCTGTCCCTCACATGGGCAGCACTGTGCCGAGACGCTGGTATCTGATGAAGCTGTTTCTCCAGACTTCATGGGTGCAAAGGAGGGGAACCTGTCCTTTACCCGTCTCTTCACAGGTGTTGGTGGCACCTGGGCTGTGGTGCAGGGCTGTAAGAGGTGCCAGAGGCGCCAGCCCCAGGGGTAGAAGACAGTCATGGCAGGGGATGTTCTGCATAGCTGTAGGTGTCCACCTCCAGGAGTCTGTGGTCTGGGGGCTACCAGGGGAGCTGCCAGGGGGATGTGGGCAGGCAGGGGACAGGAAAGGGAGCAGAGAGGACCTAGGGCACCATCTGGTGGCTTCACTCACTGCCTTCCCTAAATCCCTCTCACAGGGTCACAGCATTGCACGGCCAAGGGCTGAAGAAACACCAGGTCTTTCCAAGAGACAGCCCAGCAGGAAGAAGAGACCCCTGCCTTTGGCCCAGACTCGCACACCCTCAGGGTACTGCTGGGTAGGACAGCACTGCGAACCAGAACAGTAATAACCATTTCATTTGTGTGCTGTTCAGTCAAGCACCTCCCTTGATAAAGAACCAGCCCGAGCGGGGTCTGTAGACACTGTTGCCATACAGATGATTAACGGTAGTGGCACTTCTGAGAAGGAAAATGAAGAGAAGACAGAAGCGATGCAGGAGAACACTTTGGTCTACACCTTGGACATACATTTCATTGTCATTATCCACCACAACAAGGTCTTTCTTGTCTACAGATAAAGGCAAAATACAGCTGGCATATTTCATATGACAGAACAGCCCCCCTGTGCTCCAGAAAAGGATGAAACCAACAAACCAACGAACCACTCAAGTGCACCCAGTTTTTTGCATTCTCAAACAGGATTTGCTGTAAAGCATCGCAAAGTGGTTGTTTTAAAGGGACTAGATGGCCTCCGTGTCACCAACACCCTCTGCAGCAATGCCAGCTAAGACAGCACGGTCAGATGATCACGGTGAGAGACTGCATCTCTCAGGACCAAAGGCTCACGCCTGGTGGAGAGGGCAAACGATCCTACTGCTAACATGGGACCTCCTTTAGAAGGCAGGCACCGCATTTCCACCTCACACCACTGCTTTCTTTGATAATGGGTCTCCACTTCCCTGGAAACCTGTCAATACAAAGGCATAATTCAACACCTGGGAATCAACCTTTATACCACCGTCACCTGAGAGCATGCTCTGTGCGTAAGAGCACCGTGCTGGGGGAAGAAAGTGGAACTGTGGCCCTTAGGGGCACAGTTTTAAAGAGGAATCCATTCTCAGCATTCATTTTAAAGCAAAGCATGTAGAGTAAACACAACAAGCCAGTCATCACCTTTGTGGAGTTGGGGGAGCCAATCCTTAATTTCTCTTTTTTTTTTCAATTGCTCAACACTTAAAAATGAACTCCTTTCCTCTTGCTAGTAATACTCATTTTCTGCATCTATTCTCATAGGCCATACAGACAGGTAGGACAAAAAGACCAAATGATGGCCTTTTTCCTGAACAAATCTCTGCTGCAGAGTAGCTATACAAAATACTATGTAGATTATATTTCCTAGTCTCTCCTACCTGTGCCTGAAGGCATTTCCTCATACCTCCTTGGAAAACTCCATACTGTTTAAGAACATCCCTGCTCTCACAGTCTTCTGCTTGATACCTTTCTGGCTCACACACCCTGATGCTACTGCAGCTGCCTGTGGCACACGATGCTAAAGAAGTGATATTAGCCTGTGGCTATGTAGCTACAAGACTTCCTATTTTTCATGCAGCAGTCATTTACCCTTGCAGGGCCAATCCAAAACCCATTGAAATCAACACAGCGACTCCCCCTGACTTTGGCAAGCTTTTGCCACAGCCCAGAAGCCCAGACTTGCCAGTATTTCTTGGAAATTTTTATTTGTTCAGTTAATTGATCAGAACTTGGTGTGATTCTTCCAGTACTTTATCACTGACTGCTCTAGAATAGCCTTTTCTATTCAAAATACCATTCTTCCTCTCATGTTTAATTTTAAACAGCTTCAGGTACTTAATATATAGAATTCTTCAGGCATAAATGTAAGAAACACACTATTTAAAAAGGTAACAAGAAGGCAAGACAAATCAATTCACTGCAAAATGAGATCCTTGCTAGGAAATTTCCAGTAGCACCCAGTATTTTTAGAATTTATAACATTTAAAAAGCAAAACACAAAAACTAAGCAGCATTATTTTGGAAATTTTTGCTTTTCATCTAATCCACCAGCTTCTGCTGAATATTTTATTGCCATACTGCAGCATATTTAAAATTCATTTCATCATTTCTTCAAATTTGTTAAAGAAAGGAATTGTTATACCTGTACAATCCTCTGTAAATTCTTCTGTGAACACAAATGTTTTCTGGTCATATTAGTAAACACTAAACTTGTTGACTTAAAAAATATTTATTTATAATTATTGTGATCACTTAACAAATGGAGAACGGGTCTAATAAGCCATGCTGTGTATTCATTGCTCTTTCTGAAATGAATTCCTCAACACTGGGAAGAGAAAAAGCATTTTCCTGTGGTTAAAGAAAGTCCAAATTGCATGTTTGAAATCTCTTCTAATAAAAAGAGCAAAGCAATAAGCGGATTATCTCTTTAAACATAGTATAGGAAGGCTGGAGGCCCCGGAGACATTTTCCATAGCCTCTATCTCTGATGCATAGCAACATTATCTTCAACTGGAGAGGGTCCTATGACCCTGGAGCTCAATTTTAATTTGATCTTCTTCTTTAAAGAGGTTTCTCTGATTCCTCTCAAGTTATGCTGCATATTCTTATTTTGGGTTGGTATTGTTTGGTTGTTATTTTGTTGTTGTTTTTTAATCTGAGATAAAACAGCCTCAGCTTTTTGATCCACTGGTTTGATCATGTTATATGGATATTTAACGTAACCTCTTCCCTATCAGAACCAGAATATGCATCAGCACAAATGGTAGGCAAGTTCCAGCCGACAGGAGAGAGAAGAGCTTAGAAAATTCACCTCTAGGGCCTCCCTCCAGTCATTCCAAGTTTCAGAACTGGTCTACCTGGCCAAATAACATCTGGGGGCTGGGGTAAAGGAGCCTTATATCCGTGTTGGGAAACACTGGCCAGCTGAAACCAAGGCAAACCCACTGGTTTTGGTGGGGCAGACGTACCATGCCTGCTCCCACAGAGGCTCAAAATCCCGAGCGATAACAATGCCCATTGCCAAGAGTAACGGGAAATTCGGGAGCTCGGCTTGAACTTCTCTGGGCTGGAACCTGGCCCCAGACCTGCTTGGCTTACGCAGCCCCAACAAGGGAGTTTCCTTGGGTTTCCACCTCCTTGTTCCTCTTCCTTGTTCTGGAAAGAGCACTGCCACTGAGACACATTGCCAGGCAGGGATATTTTCTCTGTTTTGCTTTTCTCCATCTTTATCTCTGTCCATGCATCCAGTCCCCACCACATACTGCTGATATTGCTGAAGGGAAAGCATTTACTCGGAGGCACTGATTTCAGTCAGCTGAGTATGATCACAGCAGGCATCTGTGACTACTTGATGGGATTAGCAGATTATGACAAAGCGTGTTTCACTGTGGGGTTCCTGAGAAAGGAAAAATGGGCAGGTGGATGCTTGGATCTCAGTTAAACTATGCATGAAGGCCTGATGGCCATGTCAGGAAAGCTGTAGGCACAGGATCGGATGGACCACTGCACGTCAGGATTGGAAGACCAAGCCAGCAAACAAGGAGGTCTCTGGATTGTCCTATCATTTACAGAGGATGGAGATTTAAGTATTTCAGTCGGGCCAGGTGAGAGAAACCTGCACAGATCCCATCTGCACCATTTCCAAGATACCTGTGAGTGCTTGACAAAAGCAGCTTTTCTTTCGCATCAAACGGCTTTGCTGCAAAACAACAACTTCGCTGCCTCAATGCAGACTGAGCCCCGGTGGGATTTGAACAGATGCATTCTGTTGTTAATGAAGGGCAGTTTAGACGGAGCCAGGGGTTCACAAGTCCACCATGGTCGTGCCCTGAAGTTGCTGTGGATCTCTGCAGAGAACTGGGGATGTAAGAGAGTAGTTCTGCCGTACAGAAAGATGTCTGGTCCACCTAGGGTCAGATTTTCCCTGTTAGATATTCTCATACAATGTATCAGGGGATTCTTCTAGAGCTGCTTGCTTCTTAGGTGTCTGCAGAATGATGAAAAGGAGAAAAAAGAAATGGAGGAAAATTATTCAAAAGAAGATTAATTAATTCTTAATAAGCAGACACTGACGTTTGTTCTGTTAGAAACGGCTACAAGTGATCTGCTGAAACGGAAGCCACTACAGTGAGAAATGTTGCTCCGCCAGAGAGGAACGTGACTAATCCAGCCCAAGGGATAAAGATGGCTCCTTTACTTGTCACTCTTCCCCCAAAAAGCTGTCAGACAGGGAGGAGAGGGAAAATTGGACTTGGTAAAAAAATAAATCACTTTGGATTCTGTGAAGGAGGAATTCCCTGACCTCCTCAATCCTGTTTCTTCAACAGTTGAGTCTATTCCTCACAACCGTTCCTTGTGTAGACAAGGCGCTGACAGACTGATATTTTAAGCGCTGTGTGGCACAGGCCTGCTGTAAGCAAGGTTACACAGCAAGTAGCTGAAATGCCACCGGGTGAATGAAGCCCTACCTACACTAGCATCTTCTCTGTTGCCACCACCAAAGTGAAACATTTTACAAAAGTGCTGAATGCAGACACCTCCAAAGCATGCAGGATTAACCCCTCGCTACCCAAGCTGGCTGACAGTCCAGCATGACAGCAGGCGAATGCTCCCATTTCAGGGGCTCTCTGCCCTGCTTCCCTTCAGAGCTCCCCCTCTATGCGCAGCATCCCATGGCAAGGGCTGGCCTGGACCCTCCACAGCAGAGCCAGCTGCCACTCAGCAGCCCCAGCTCCCACTCGCAGGCCAAACCCACTGGCCCACCAGTATTGCTCTTAGGGAAAACACCCTGTCCTATTCTGGCACAGCCAGCTGGAGGATGGGCGTTCCAGGCAGCCACAGCCCAGGATGACTGAGACAGAAGCTGATCAAAGTGCTTGCAATAGCAGTGGAAAGTGCAGTCAGATTCTCCCTGTGCAGAGATCATGGGGCCCTGCCACTCACGCTTCCCCTCCTTCTGACCAGCGCAAGAACTGAGGACACTTGGTGGTGTCTGCTCTTGATATGAGAGCTCATCCCAGCCCCTTTCTTCACTTTCTTCTCCTTGTTTCTCCTGTCTCTGCTTTGATCTTTACCCGGCCCTGGCTGAGACTACCAGCACCAGACCGACTCACACACAGATGCTGCTTTGCTCCTGCTCTGTTTTACAGACCTGCTGGCCCCAAAGCAGCAGCTGAGTGGTGTGGGCCACACACACACATGATTCAGCACAGCCCAGATAGCTCCACGGTAAGGAAAAACCCACACATACTGCATCTCATCATCGAGACTCAATCATTTCGAAGGGGGCAGCTGATACAGGTATACAGAAGAATAAATAGGACAGGGAAGAGGAATCAAGACCTACTGTTTTCCTTGTCCAACTCATTAAAAATGCAGCAAGAACACAACACCAGGGATGCTGTCTTTTCCAGTGAATATGATGCAGTGGGGTATAAGAGAGCCTATACAAAATAACCCATCCTTCCCCTCAATAATCACATACCTGCCACAGCCTTTGCTACTCCCAACCACTGTGGTGCCACAGCAGTAACTGCAGGAGGCCAGTGGCCTTGGGACCAGACCACATGGCAAGTAGCTCTGACACAGGGGAGGCTGCTTGATTTTAGACCACCTTTTCCTAACAGGTGGGAGTTACAAAGATGCCTCAGACACCAGGAAATACTGTCTTTCATGAAACAGAGTGATGGTGCCAACTGAAGCTGGCGCCACGCTCCACACTGCATAATCAGTCAACCTGGGGAACTCTCCCAACAGGACATCAGTGGGAGGAAGGCAGGAGACATTTTTCAGGAACATTTTCCAACATTAGAGGAGTGAATATATTTTTTAAGCAGGTAAGAGGTCTGGAGGGGAAAAGAACAGCAAAGTTCTGAGGACAGGAAGGAAATGCACCCTGGGGTGCCTGATGCAAGTTTTGTCCCTACGAAAGAGCTGATGCCTGCCAAAGGCAGGCTACAGGGTTGTGTGGGCCTCTGGGTTGCTTCACATGGCCCCCACAACTGATCTGCACCTGCATATTCCGAGTTACAGCTACTTTCACTATGAGTGAATTTAGTTCCTCGTCTCTAACTTGTAACTCCCAGCCCAGCAAGAAGATCTAAGCCCAAAATCTACCCACACTGCCTTTTCCTGAGCCCTGGAGCTGACAGAGACTGTATCAGCCCAGCCTCTGTTCAGACCATCTTACCTTCTGCTATCATGAAATGGCTCTCAGGTGCTTAATGCCAGTGAGAGTGAAGCTGTGTCCAGGATCTGCCCCTGGTGCACAGACTCCTCTACGTGGGAGGACTTCTCAGCTGCCTAAATAATCTGGAAAGGGCAACAGTGGGGGCCAGCATCTGGTCAACTCTCTGTGAAGGTCTGTCCTGTTCCGAGGGAGCAGCAACACCAAACCCCTCAATGCCTTTCGGGGTATGTCATACAGCAAAGCATCTGCATGAAACCAGGACTGCCAGAACTGCTAGCTGCAGGAGGAAGGGTTCTGCTGGAAGAGGGAAGGTAGGCTACATGTGCAGCCCAGCTGGTGAGCGGATGCCACATCTCGTTTTCCCCTTTTGGTGGGACTGGAAGCCGGGAAAGAGCAGACGAACCTACTGCCTGCTAGGACCATGGCAACTCTGCGGGTTTTCTTTCCCCATGCACCCAGAGCATAAGGGAATTCTCCAAAAACAGGGCCCCAGCCCTTACCTTCCCTGAAGGACTCCTTCTGGGTGATGGGTTGCTTGCGTTGTTCTCAAGGCTAGAATAGACATCAACTTGCTGCAAATCCAAGCACTGCACAGGGAAGAGAGAAGAGGGTAGGGGTCAAATAAATTACTTTAGGTTTAAGACAACTAATTGCCCACTGTGTTGTTCTCTATCTCATGCCTGACATTTTTTAGGAACCCCTGCCACCTCCAAAATTTTGAAGTTCCTGACGTGAACTTTGGCAAACAGAAAATCCTTTCCCCCTGAAATCTCTACAGTGCAGCTGCATCATCTTCCTTATTCAGGCTCACAGAGACAGGCTTTGACGTTACCTACCCTGTGCAAGGCAGCGGAGAAGAATGCCAATGCCCCTGCCCCCCTCCACTCCAAATTGTCCCAGACTGCAGAATAAAGACCTCTCTGACACATGAAAGGATATTGTGCACCATGGAGACCACAGGTAATGGGCAGTGCTCTGCATCACCCAGGACCGTTTAGGTGCCTGACACCCACAAGCTCTTGCTTATGGCTGTTCTGGGCACACAAAGGTGAGAAGAGGGGTGAGGCTGAAAGTCCTGAAGCACAGGGGCTGTTGAAAATGGGAAACCCTACATCGAGCATGATTTCTGTTTACTGTCTGGGTTTTTTTCCAAGCCAAGACTCTCCTCTCTTCTTAGAGTGAGCAAAGAACAATAAAAAAAAAATCAATACATTCTCAGGCTCTCAAACATATCCGTGGTCCCATGCAGCTACACAGAGAAACACACACACACACGCGCTACATGCGTATGCACCCGCTGGCCCCCCAGGTGATCGTGTCACAGGAGATGCGTGTCAGTTTGAGTGATGTTCCAGATCTGCCTGAAGGATCAAACATAACAGTCAGGAGGACTTTTCCATGTGTGTTTCAAGGATGACAGCAGGTTGCCAAGGTGGCTGTTTCTCTGGCAACAGGAAGATGGGAGGAGCTCCGGCCGCAAGAGGGGCAGATGGTATTAGTGGAGAGCTTGCAAAGGGAGCAAGGCGCCCTGCAAAACAGCGAGGAGGGCGAGCAAAACACGGGGGGTTGGTTCTGCCAATCACCTGAACCCCCATCAATTCATCGGGAGCTGCAAAGGCTCACCATCCTTCAGGATCATGGCCGGCAGGATGATGGTTTGAACAGGACAAGTTGACAGAGGAGCAGCATTTGGGAGTGGGGCCTGGAACAAACAGGCACTCAGACAGGAGGGGGCCGCAGTGAACAGAGCACCACATGGCTCTCCCGTTCCCACTCCTTCTCTGGGAACAGTCAAGTTGTTCCACCTGTCTGCTTCCTGCTCCCAACAACCTGCTTTCCTACAGCAGACATTTCCAACTATTCGCATTTGCACACGAGCACACAGAAAATCCCACTTCCCCATCCTCATTTTCAATTCTCTTTGTGATGCTCATAGTGAGGACCTCGTCCGTGTGCTGCCCTCCCAGCAGCCCGGCTCTGTGTCCCCTTGGCAGGACAGGCAGCCTCCTTCACTGCTCTAGTCTAAAGCCACGTGCCAGCAAGAAGGATCCTTTTGACGTTTAACCTCCAAAAAAGATTTCCTCCCTCCACAAACCCTCTTCCCACAGAGGCTGTTCACAATGCTGGTCGTTTGCTGGCCAGTTGGAAAGCCGGTGTCTCCAACTGCCATTTGCAAATTAATTACTTTTACTTGGTCACTGACCACCTGCTACTGTCACAGCGGAGGAGCACAGGCCTCTCTCCTCCCCGCTGGCAGACGCCTTCCCGTCCCCAAGCAGCCTCCTTGTCTCCCTCGCACCAGGAAAATCTCCTGTGCTCTGGAACCCGCCTGCACTGCAGGAGTTCTGTTTGCTGCTCAAAAAAGCTTGTTTGAAGTGCAAAGCGGATGAAGCGAGTCCCTTGGATTGTTATTTTCAAGCTGCTCGTTAACCAGGCAGCTAAGCTGGAAGACGGAGCAAAATACAGGTTTGAGTCGGGGCAGTGCAGCAAGGTAGGGCTGCAGGAGGACAAAGAGATCTGTGAACACCTGGCAGTGCAGTGGGAACAAAGGGGGTGCCCAGCTGCCCCCTTCTTACCGGTGCTTTTTGCTGCCTGCTGCTTTTCACTGGGTACACCCACCCCGCCGGACCACGAGGTAAATGGCGGCACCCAGAAGACCCGGTGGGGAAGGCATTTGCTCCTAGGGATGCTCAGCAGGATGGCTCTGCAAGAGGGGTGCAAGGATTCTCCCCACGCCAGGGATGAGCCCTGCTGCTCCCTAGGATAACAAATTCAATGAGCTGCACCAGCCAGTTCCCAGACCTTACTTGGATGGCCAGCGCTGCCGCCTGCTGCTCCTGCTCCCAGCTCCAGGCCCGCAAGACACCGTGGTTCCCTTTCGGGCTCTGACCTCCTGCTTCTCCCCACAGACAGCACATCTGGCACGTGCTGGCCTCCTGACCCGTCACCTGATCTTTGGCCTCCTTTTTTATCTCATCACCTGGAACTACTTCTCACTTGTCCTCCCCTTGTCCTTGCCTTAGCTTACCCCAGTGCTGACCACCGATTTCTGCCCTCCTCATGAATTATGCACTAAGTGTTCAACACCCAATTTAACACCAGCGGGTTTTCACAACGCACCTAATTTCAAATGCAGTTTGCAGGGCTGGGTTTACACCACACAGAGTCCTCACAAAGCGTAGCAGTGGGGCACCAGAGCCATCTTTCAAAGGAAAGGAGGCTCGTTGACTCTCCACTCCCCTCACTTGTCCTGAGGGCCCATCCAATGCAGGGTGTCCATCCCAGGGCTCTCGCCCTCTCTCCCCCGTTAACTGCCCTGTCCCCCCTCGCAGCCCCGTGCTCTCCCCTCCTCACCTCCCAGCTCTGCCTT